TCCCTTCTGGTGGTGGGCCTGGCCAGGGCAGGTTTCTAGAAGTAACGTGCTCCAAGACAGTAGATCCTGATATCTTGCGCCAGTGGAGGATCTGCCCAGTGTACCTCAGACAAGCAGCAACTGCCTTTTGCTGTCTTTAGAAACAGTCCACGGACTTCAGCACTGCTCCAGTTAGAGCAAGCATTGATTTTTATTAGGATTATGGGATAATTCAGGCTGAAATGAACCTCAGGAGGTCATCTAGTCCAACCTCCTGGTGGGGCAGGCTGGAACAGCAGCCAGGGCTGGCCACACCCTGTGCCCTTAGCTTGCAGGAGATATATCTGGTGGGAGCTGTCAGGTGTGCTGGACCTAAAATTACTTCTCCAGACTTGGCCAAATGCTAACCTGTTTGCAAATTTATATTTTTCCATTTTACCCAGAGTGATACAGACTTACATTACTTTGTATTTCTCCACAGGATTTCTCTTAGACACCTACAGATTCCCAGTGCTGGCCAATTCTGAGACCGAGACAGCAATCGCAGTCACTCCCTGTCCACCATCCCTGTATGAGAACTTGTCATATCAGATTGGGGATGGCTCAGTTTTCAAATGCTTTTTTTTGCAGGGGAAAGAAAAAAAGCCTGGTTCTGGAGATAAGCTTCTGCTAGAAAGTATAACGGTATATGGTATGTAAAAACTTTTCTGCTTTCCATTGCAGCATGCCTCTAAGTACATAAGTACAAATAAATATGTGGATGAGAGCAAAGGGAGTGGTTAAAAGGAGGGTTTTTCTTCAAGAAGAACTGAATGAACCTAGAATCATGAGTGATCCAGGCACTGCTGTTCCAGCTTCGTCTGTTCTGTTTACAAGCCAGTTTGTTCCTCTCCGGGGCTCCGCTCTGTCCACAGGGACAACTACCATACTGAGAGTAAACACTGCTATGTCCTCTGCTCCCCTTTCTTGCCTGTCTGCGCTTTACCCATGGGAGAACAGCAAAGCGTCAGCTCCGAATTACACAGAGTAAGTAAACAAATCTATTTTAAAGAAAAAATTGTGCTGAGCAGGAGCAGCCTATTCCTAAAGAGTTCTGAAAACTGGCATTGCGTTCTTGCTGGGAAGGCACTAAAGTACAAAGGTTTCTGTCCCTTGCAGTAACTGTCCCCTTGTGCACACGCGCAGGCATTGTGGTTTTTGGTCAGGGGCCATGTGTATGAAAGCCCACGGACTAACGTGCCTTTTTGCTCTGGGTGAGACCTCATTGCCGGCCAGCAGTCCAACACAACGCTTTGCAGCTGGAGGAGCTCATTAAATCTAGTCCCGTTAAATCCGTAAGGGCTGCAGACGATGCAAGAGATACAAAGCTGATCTGGTCTGTCTTGTGCTGTCATCAGGCGCAGCAACAGGGAACTGAGACCTATGTGGCCACTTCCCTGCCCGCGGGCAGACACAGAGGGGGTCACACAGAGCCTCTGTGACTGGATGCAGTTGTAGATTGGGGTAAGAACAAAGAAAGGAATGTGCTGCTCACAGAGGAGCCCATGGAAGGGTGGTGGGTCAGCTCTGTTGTCCCAGGGAACACGGGATGCTTGCAAAGCAAAGGCATCTCCTGAAGAGTGGGAGATGGGTAGGCAAGCCCACCTCAGAAAGCCCTGCCTGAGCCCGTCCCAACCCTAGAAAGCCTTTCTTGAACGTGGGAGAGCACGGGCCAAGCTGAGGGCCGGAGCTCCACCTAGCCCCCATTGTCTGGTTTCCAGATCTGGTCCCTTTAACTCAAGGAGGGCCAAAAAGACATTGAGTCAGGTTTCTGGACTGGCAGCCAATTCTTTCCAGGGGATGTTTCTTGGCCTCAGGTCTGTCTCGTCTCATGGCGTAAGGATTGCAGGCAGGGGAAGGTGGCAGCGCTTGCCAGCACCAGTGGCTTCTGAAAATCCCATCGCTTCCTTTCCCCTTTTGATCTTCCACTGGGCCAGGCGAACAGGTTTGATTTGCAGATCGTGCCTCTCTCCTCCGTAACACTTACAGGAAACCCTGTTTGCAGCCAGAGTCTGGCGTCCATGGGCCAACAGCCCGCCACGGAGCAGCAGGAGTGGAGCCGTGGGAGAGCGAGATGGACGACCACCCTTCCCCTCTGGCACTGGGGACTCGAAGACGCGCGCTCGGAAGCCGAGAGCGTCTTTTGAGAGCGGCTCCCTGGGCCAGGG